TAGTAGTCATATTCAGTTGCACTTGGATCCTTGGTGCCTGTGTATGTCTATAAAGTCATCGGGTAGATTTCAATGGTAATGTTTATCACCTCTACTAATTAACATGATGTAAATTTCCATGCTTCCTCCTCAAATATAATACATTTTAAAATTTGTTGATTTTTGTTTGTGTGTGTGTGTATATATCACATAGAACATCCCAAACTTATTCAACTATACACCCACTTCCCAGATGGCACCCTCCCATAGCCTTCCTCCCCCGACTAGAGCCATTATACTCTGATATCCTTGTTACTGTCTGCTGTGTTGTTGGCACCCACAGCCATTCCCCACTATTTGTCCATCTGGTGAATCTAGTCAGCCTCTCTAGAGGGCTTTGTTTTAGGAAGGTCAGCTGTTCCTCATCTAGCAGCAGTCAGTTGTCAATATTCCTTTAGATAAGATTGGGGTCTGCTGTTCGCTTTCCCAGTTCTATGCTGGGTTACTATCTGGGAGTCCCTTTGGCCACACTGACCAACAACTCACAAACAGGTATCTCCTATCTGGCATTGTTACTTGTTATATAGCCTTCAGCTATACATATGGACTCTTAAAACATTATATTGGCCCCTTTAATCTTTGGTTATTCTTTCCTCTTGAGTATTTAAGGCCATACAGTTGGCCCAGATAAACCAATTTATTTTTACTCTTAAGTTCGTTTGAGGATCTGTTCCTCAGGGGTCACATGGGCTTGGGAGGAGCCCCTGGCTCCTTTCTTTTACCAGTTATGCCTATGTGAAGATAAGTCAAAGGTCCTACTCCGCCATGGCTGGCTTCGCTTGGAAGCATGGAGGAAATGATTCCTCTGTGTTCACCCTCCTCTTTGTAGACTGGACACTGGTTCAAGTCCATCTCGTGGGGTCTCCTCGGCCTCCTTGATCAAGAGGACAGGTCACCCACCACCATTACAGGACATTTTGAGAGATGCTCACAGTCCCCTGAAACTAGTCGACCTAGGAGGGTAAGGAGCGAAAAGTGTCCTTTATGTCCCTCTGACCAAATTATTATAGGCCTCAAACTATGTCTCTTAAACATCCAAGAAGGTTAGTTCCACCAGTCTGGTACTTTTAAAAAAAAAATATTTTATTACTTCTATTTTAAGTGTATGAGTGTATTGCGAACATGTAAGTAGGTGCACCTGTTTCGTGCAATGCCTCAGAGGTCGGAAGAGGGTTTCGGATCCCCTGGAACTGGAATTAAGGACAGTTCATAGCTGCCATGTGGGTGCTGGGAATTGAACCCAGGTCCTCTGCAAGAGCAGTCAGTGCTCTTAACTGCTGAGCCATCTCTCCAGCCCCAGTCTGATACTTTTAATTACTGTGTGTTGTGTAGATAAATCTTGGGAAAAGACCAATTGTTCTCAGATAAACCTTACCTAGACATATATTTCTTGATCTAGCATGTATAATTTGTCAGTAGGTTTTAAGAATAATATGGTTCCCTCTGGTTTTTAAAACTAGCTAGGCATTGTTTATCGCTTGCATTGTCTCACCCCTCCATCATGGTTTCCCCAATTAAGGTGCCCCCATTTCCCCCCTTTCTCCCTTACTAATACCCTTCTCCTACAGTCCTACCTCTCTTGAGCTCCTTCTTTCCCCTTATCCCCTAGGTTCCTTGTATGCCCTTCCTTCCCCGCTCCCTTAAAATAAACCAATTTTTATCCATATCTCCCTTATTAACACCTGTTTCCTACTGTTCTTCTCTTTCAGTTCTTTCTTTTCCTTTACCTA